CTTTTGTTTTTTAGCACACCTTCTATTAGTGGCGCGTCTGAACTACGCGCTTCCTCGGACAGAAAAATGGTGGTGGTGTGGAGTGTTGTAGAAGTGTCACAATCTTACCAACCAAAGCCACTCACTTTGCTGTCTTACAAAGGAAATGCATTTTAATTCTTAATTAAATCCCACGAACGGCACTTTTTTTTTCTAATTATTTCCGTAAATATCATAATCGTATTAGTATCCAATCAATTAATTTCATTATTTAAATTTATATTTTGGTTTCATCAGATCCTATCTATCTAGTTGCAGGGGAACGAAACATTCATTAAGAATGTAGAAACCTCTTCTCAGTAAATGCGTTTTAAAACCATAAGACTAACGGTGGTACGTAACAGTCCAAAGCAGACATTATTTGCTAGCAGTGAGCTTGTGCAGCGAGGATGCGAATTTCCAAAGGGGGTGGATTGTGAGATCCCACATCAGTTGTAAGGAGAACAAAATATTTCTAACAGTGTGAAAACCTCTCTCTAATAGAGGTGTGTTTCACGATACATAATAGACAAAACAGACAATATCTACTAGTATCTTATCGATTCTGTTTAGGATTAGCAACTCCATTAAATCATAACCCTGTCCACGTCTCCCAAAAAGGGGATAAAATTAAAACATGACAAATTTACTTGGAACAAAATACAAATAAAACAAGTTACCAAACATGAGTGAAATTAAGATTTAAATTGCGACAAACTCATCAAACGTTAATGCAGCTTAAAGGTAAGGGCACGAAGAACCGTGTGAAACAGTTGCAAACTGCTTAGATAAACGAAACCTAGAAAGAGTGAATAATGAAGGCTAGACATAAAGTTATTGCTTAATTAAGTAAAAAATTGTGATGGGGAATATGATTATAGACTCTAAAGAAAGCAAACATTATGAGTGTGTGTGTGCATGCCACAAAAATAAACTCCCTAATCTCAAACCCTAATACAATAGGATTTAACCTTGTTTCTTCATTGCCTATGCATGCTGCTCTCAATTTAACATGCCACTGTTTTTAACTTGTTTATGTAGGCTGTCCTTTTGTCTGTTGCTTCGCCTTTGATTCTCTATTTATGGCGTCTCATCCTCACAACTTCACTCACTCTCTTACCCTTTCGGCTCTAGAGTTTTGTTGGGCCTTGTCGTCACCATCTCATCTTGTCTGCCCTTTTAATCCTAGGGACTCCATTAACACTTTGGTTAGGTTAATGAAGAGAACCACCATATAATTAAATTTATGTCGGGTTAGAAATCATGGGAGGGCTCCCTTAATTGAGACTTGACTCCTTTAGAGCCCTCGAACAAAGGGAATTAGCCAATGTTGGACTTCTCTCCCAACAATACTCAACAATCCTCTCATCGAACAAAGTACACCATAGAGCTTTCTCTGAGGCCTATGAACCCTCAAACAATCTCCTCTTAATCGAACCTCAACTCTTTTATGGAGTCGTCGAACAAAATACATAATTTGTTACACCTTTTGTTCGACACTTTAATCATTTTGAACTACACTTTCGAAGCTTACAACTTTTTTGTTTGACATTTAGAGTTTTATGACATGGCTAAGTTAAAGTGACGAGTCTCAAAATGTCTCATCCCAATGGATATAGTTTTTCTTATTAATAACCTTAATTTTTTCTTTAATTAGTCAACGTGTAAAACTACTCTCTCAACAATCTTGAACGGGTAGCTATGAAAATGAGACCGATAGACAAAGGGACAAGAATTATGTTCTTAAATTTCACCTTTTTGTTTTTGTCTTTTTTTTTTTTTTTTCACAGATTATTGTAAGAAAACAAATGAAAAAGAAATATAAAAAATTAATTAATTTAAGTCGAGTAGGTTAATCTCAGTCGTCCCATCGCAGTGCTGACGCTTATTTGATAACAAAAAGCCAAACCTTTCCCGAGGAAGAGAGAGAAATGAGAGACACACACAAACACACACACACTTCCAAATGCTTGAGGTAGAACACCAAAAAACACCCCTAAATTCAATGGAAACACAGACAAAAACAAGAAAAAGATAAAATTCCAAGGCATTCCAGTCTAATCACATCAAAATCATCAATACCCTTCAATTATTTCAACTTAAACACACAAATAATTAGCTTTTGACCCATTTTTAAACAAAACCCTTTTCATATTTGAGGAAACCCTTGTGGAAAAAACACAACTTTTCTTGTGATTTTGTGTTCTAAACAAATGGGTATTATGATTAGTTGAATTCCAAGGCTTGTTTTTTTTTTTTTTTTGTCTGCCATGTAATTTGTTGTGTGCATGGATTTAATAAGTGGCACGCACGAAACCACCAAAACCCATTCGATTTTGGTTGCTTCCAGACAATGATTTTTCGTATCTTCTCTGTAACAATGAAAATGTTTCTTTCTTTTATCGCTCTAAGAATTGTTTGGTGCAGTCGAAAGTTACAGTTTTTTTTACTATACAACGAACCAGATTTGATAACTCGGACCAGAAGTTATTGTCGAACATGAGTCAGCTTTCTCGAATCATGGCTGCCTTGCCAATTTTTCTGTACCTATTTTGCATTCCTACTGTGTTTCCATCTCTAGCTGCCTGGATTTCTAGTGTTCATCAAATAATATCAAATTTTTAAGCTAAACCTCCCAAATTTAACTATCTTAAACCTTTAACCTCCTTCTTCCCTTTCACATACAATTCAAATATGTTCAATCTTAATTATTTAAATTTTTAATTCTATTTGTTTATGTATTTTTACATATTTCCATAGTAGATCATTATCAAACCAATTTTGTTAGCTTATTTTATTAAATCTACTAAATTTATCATAATTTAAAGATTATCGATTCCAAAATTTTCTTTACAAATTGATTTATTTGTATCCGTATATTTTAATTGTGTTCATTACAAACAAAATCAGAAAAAGAAAAATGTGTAGGTGGGCGTATGTTGTATGGGAGAGAAATGAAAAAAAGTGAGGGAAAAGGAAAGGAGTTGGATGGGTTGAAGTGGAGAGGAAAGCACTAATGAGTGGGAGAAGAGGGTTCAAGTTCCGGAGGCATGGCGATTGATGATCCATTAAAAGGGGCAAAGATGAACATGTGACCCTCAAACGCACACCCAAACCAAACCAAACGGACCGAGACTCAGACAGACACATCTGACGGGACGTGCAGCTGACATGCAACCAGACCAGACCAAACCAAACCCAACCCAATCCTTAATCATGTCTTTACTGTTTACACACACAAAGGGAAAGAGGGAAAGAAACACAGTCTTTCTCTTTGGCTCACATCACATCATCAACAAAAACATCTCCATCCACCCTCGTCTCTGTTTTGTTTTTTGGTGGGGGATCTGTCAGCTGGCGGGAAACCGCTAAAAAACACGAAATTGCATGAGAAAATAACCACACTTCCTCTTCCTTCTCCGCTAAAAATAAAGTTACCATCTTTTTTTTTTTTAAGTGGGAGTAAGAACGGGACGGGGAAATTGAAAACGGTAGAAAAAAGAGAGAGGGAATTGCGGGAAAAAGGGAGGGTGGATTGTGACAGGACGGGAGAAGGAGTGGGACGACCGTGATTTCCATTTCAATATTCTTTTGCAGCCTTTTCATAAGCAGTGGCCCCCAGAGCAGACCACACCAGGCCACACCACAGACCCCCTCAGCTTGCTTCTCGCTCACTAACTCAGCCCCACCTCCTCCCCCTACCTCTGACATTGCCACCATGCGAGACACTGCTTTCGTTGACATTTACTTCAATTCTAATTTACCAATATGAATGCCATCTAAACCCAAGATGAAGAGGATTAGGTGGGCATGTCTGGGGAAGATTACAGCATATGAAACTTCCATTATATGCTTCCATATTTGGGGTTGACACCGCCAAGTGCTTCCCCCACTACCATCTACTTTGTGTACCTTAATGGAATAATCATTCCATCCCTCTCCCCCATCTTCATCATCAAAATTATTAACATCAAACTCTAACTCACTCACTCACTAACTAACGTACCGATATTGTCTTATTTAGATTCTCGTCTATTTGGGAGAAGTTTCCACACTTAATATGAAATAGTTTGTTCCACTCTCCAACTTATGTGAGATCTCACAATTCACCCTTTTAGGGATCAATATTCTCACTGGCACACCGCCCACAATCCACCTCTTTGGAGATTAGCATCCTCGCCTGGTACCTATCTCTGATATCATTTGTACATATCCGACTATTAGCGAGAGATTTCCACTCTCATAAGAAATACTTGGTTCTCCTCTACAATAGAATCACACAATACACCTTTTTGGGATCAATGTCCTCGCTGACACACCACCCGATACCTGATTTTGATACCATTTCCAAATGAATCGAGTAAGAAATTGAAACTTGATTAGGGTTTCAAGATGGGTTAGGGTTGGCATTAATGCCATACACTCATCTTCTTCCAAAGGGATGATTAAAACAATTGAATAATTTCTTCTAGGGACAAAAAGGAGACTAAATACGAACCCATGATAGCTTAAATTGAACAAAAGCAAACACCGACATACCTTAATGAAAAGTTCGATAGATAGGTGTTAATAGGAAGCTTATATTACATTAAAACTATAATCATGACAGAATTGCGTTACCAAAATGCAATCATTTAATCATACAATACAATTGCATACTTTGTAGATTTGATGAGAGTGTGAGCTGTTAAAGCCTAAAGACATCCATTTTAGGAGAATATTTCAGGACTATTTATGTGATGACATGATTAAAGAAAAAAAGAAAATTCCATCGCACCCAAAAAGTGATGGGCTTGACGAAGATAGGCTTGGGCTCACTTGTCTCGATAGAACAGGCCCAGAAAAGAAGTAGAACAAGAGGCATCAGACTATGATGAACCCTATCATTCCTTTAAAAAATTTGCCCAATTATGATAGCAAACAGTTTTAGTGGCACGATGAAAGAATGAAATAATCTGTACGAAAAGGAAGACACCATGTACACTCAATTACACCGGCTGTATAGCTCGCAACTCAGGTATCTCCTGCAGGCATTCCACAGCACCATTGTAGTTCAAGAACCCCATGAACCAAAATTCATGGTTGTCACCAGAGATTATCTGTATGTACTTTTCAGCAGGATTCATTCCGCTTGAGGAAGGATTCACTGCCTTTAGCTGCTGTAATGGGATGATTACCTGTTTTTTTTTTTTCAATAAAGATCGAATATGTTCATAAGCATGTGGGGTTACGAAAGTTTTAATTTTTTTAGAAGCCCAATACCTTGTAATAGCTCCATTCGGTTTTGCCGTCGGACTTGTATGAAAGGGGATTGTTGCTACAGTATGCAAGCTTGGCCGTAGATACGTATAATACGCCCATAACAGGACCGACAGAGGTTGACAAGTAACATGAAAACGAGCTTTGGAGTTTTTCCTCGGGTGTTGTATCGAAGGTTTGTTGGAAAATGTTGTCGTACCCACCTTCTGCCAATACTTTGGTCACTTGTGCAATTCTTCCCAGTGCTGCGTCCGCAAAACTTGGACTTGTTTTCACTGATTCATGAAAGTATGCCCAACTTTCAATCATATCATACAACATTAATATCAATATTCATTATTTTAAAAAACGTTCGCTAAAGAGAGGTTTCTATATTCTCATAAGAAATGTTTTGTTTCTTCTGGAACGGATGTGGAATCTTACAATCCATCCCCAAACCTTTTGTAATAGACGGTCTGATGTCTAACTCTGATACCATGTGTAAACACCAAGTCCACCTTTAGTAGATATTTTAAACATTTATAATATCCCAAGCTCATCCCTAGTAGATATTTTCTCTTTTTCGTTTCGTATCGTTGTAAGCTTCACTGTTTTAAAAAAAACTAGGAACGAGGTTTTCACACTCTTATCAGGAATGATTCATTCCCCTCTCCAACCGAGTGGGGTCTCACAATTTACTCGTTGGCACTCGTTCCTCTCTCCAATCGATGTGAGATCTCACAATCCACACCCCTTCTGGATCTAATGTTCTTACTGGTACTCACCGCTATTAGATATTATCCTTTTTAAATTTTTCCTTTCAAGTTTACCCTAAAAAATTCTAAAACTCTGTTCGTTAATGAGAGATATCCATATTTTTATATTTATAAAATGAACAAAAACAAACAAACCAAAATGGTAGGAGTAGACCAACCTTTAAACATGACAATTTTTGCTCACTTCCTTGGGGAAAATTGGATAATAAAGGGAATAGTTTGTCCTTTTCAGCCGCAATTAGGTAAATGAATAGCAATACCAAAAACAAAAAAAAACATACAATGTTGCCACGTGTTGCCAGCCAGATCCTCGGCCTTTTTGGTAGCTTCCCCGACTTGCTTTCCCCATCTCCCAAGCACGGTCCATAAAGAATCCACCGTCTCTGATCAAAACGCATTGAAACATTTACCACAAGGGTGCTACAACTCACACAAAAGAAGCAAACATAGCCGCACATTAAAATACCCTTGATGGAAGTTGAAGAGGAAGGAGGCGAAGAAGCATGCGGATTCGACCCGTAAGCATTGCAAGCAACAGAAGGAGATTGGGTCACCAAATCGTTGCTCCAATGCACCGATTTCTTGGACCCCGAACACGGCGTTGAAATCGCACCTTGTTCGTTCTGCCTCGGAACCTGACGCTCTGACTCCATCACCAAATTCCCCCAATTCCCATCTCCCTCCTCTTTTCCATCGGATCTTGGGCTCGTCGAGATCGGACCTTTCTTCCCACCCTCCTCCTGCTTCGGCTTCTCCATTAACACAGTTTTCGGAGTCTGTGTTCCTCTATTTTACTCCAACCAAACTTCCAAATACAACAAAGGCTAATTGGACCATGAACACCCCCCCGTCCCTACTTTTTAGCGCGCACCTCAACCTAATTGGATCTCGTGCCGACGCCTTTACATCATCCACCTTCTTCCAATTTCTTTCTCCATTTCCCATGCAATAACCTAATTTTAGGATAATTCTATTTGTAATCTTAGGAGCTTTTTAAATTTTCAATTCCAACAAATTAAATAAAAAGAAACGTCCTTTAAAAGGCTTTTAAATCATAGTAATAAATTATAGTTTATCATATATATTATATTTGATGTGTTATTATTGCCTTATTATCATATCTATCTTTCCATTTATTATTATTTCCATTTATTACTGTTTCCATATTCTTGTAATTCATCTGATTATAAATAAGATAACTTTCACACTATCTAGACGTGGTGGATTAATCAAACATTCACAATACCCCAAATGGATAATATTAAAAAAATATATATGTATTCATAAAAACAATTGTCATTAAATATTAAAATAACGGCCATGTATGAATTTACTAATGAAATAATGATAGTAAGAGAAGAAAAAAATCAAACTTTTAAGATGGTTTTGTCTATTTTGAACATAAGCTCTCATCGCTTTGGTTTCGGCTTCCCCAAAAGGCCTCATACTATCGGAGATAGTATTCCTCACTTATAAGCACATGATCAATCCCTAACTTAGCCAATGTAAGACTCACTCCCAATAATTCTCTCCTTAAACAAAGTACATTATAAACCTCCCCTGAGGTTTATGGAGCTTTCGAATAGCCTCTCCTTAATCGAGACTCGACTTTTTTCTCTAGAGCCCTCGAACAAAGTACACCATTTGTTCGACACTTAAGTCACTTTTGACTACACCTTCAAGACTCGCAATTCTTTGTTTAATATTTGAGGATTTTATTTTCATGGTTAAGTTCAAGTATGACTCTAATACCAAATGTTAGAAATCATGTTTTTAACTTTGGTTTATGGGTTAAATAATATATATGGTCATACATTAACAATTTTTTAACTTAATAATAATATGATATTTTTATGCATACCATGGAAATTTTATTTTTTTTAGCTCCCATTTATTATACTAAATCAACTTAGACAATACAGATGAATTAAATTAGGGCCACAATTTTAAATACTTCATTTTCCGGAGGTGGAATTGAAAATAATTTGATCTTTTTCCATTTCTGGCGGTTACCAAACTCCACTTTCTTTCCGCAAACGCCTCAACGGCTACATACACGCAAAATATGAATTAAATATTTCAACGGAAATAAATGCATGTTCTTGGAATTTGCGGCAGTCTGATCCAATGATATTCCGCCACCTGTACTCGTATTTTGACATCCTGGCCTGAACTAACGTTTATCAGAAAATTGCAAACTATCTGGCTACGCCGTGTACGACTGGAACACGGTAAGAGACAAGAAAGCCATGTCCACCGACATGTCTATAAGCGACACGTGGCGGATCCAACTGGTGGATTATGTCATGTACAAATGTGTGATTTTGATCAGGGTTGTCATAGTTCAATTAGTACACGTGTCAGAATCTGGATTGCTCGCGTACTTGGTTTACATGCATCGGATTCGTCTAGCCTATTTATATGCAGAACAATGGATTAGAAGCAAAGCAAATTCCGTGAGCCAACGTGTTCGATTCTGCTGTCGTTTGGCGCTTTTCATTTTTCTTTCCTGTAAAGACGATGGGATTCTCTGGGGTTCGATTTATTATGGTTCTTGCTTTGTTGGCAGCCACGTGTATGGCTCAGGCGCCGGCGCCGGTACCGGCACCAGCACCGACTCAGGGTCCTTCACAGCCTCTACCACCGGCACCAGCCACGCCGGCTCCTTCTTCGAGTCCGGCGTCGCCCACACCCGCTCCGGAGACTAGTACGCCTACTCCAGCTCCAATTACTCCTTCTGGGTCTCCTGCCGGTGGTCCTGTTGTGCCACGTGTCGCTTCTCCTCCTTCATCAGCGCCGGAAGGACCGCCAGCAGACAACCCAACCGGAGCAGCATCGCAGATCGGCAGAGCGGGTACGTTGGGGATGGCTGTGGCTGGAAGCCTGTTGGCAGTGATGTTAGCAGCCTAGATGATGGGAGTGCATTTGAATATGGTTTCGATTTATTTATATTATCTGTTGTGTGTTTTTTGTATTTTGATAGTAATGATTATTTGAGGATTCTTTTGTTGTTGTGATGAACTCATTTATATTCATTTAAATTTAGGAGAAATGAATCCTTTGTACATCCGATTTAAGATGATGAATAAGAGTTTCATTTTTTATCGGTGTTTATAAATGTTAGACGATAGAAAGTTCCATTTCACTAATTTAAAAAATGATTATTTATTTATAATCAAATAATACTCTTTCTATTGATATGAAATATTTTGGAGAAGTCTAAAACAAGGTTACGATAGCTTAGATTCAAAGTAGATAATATCATAGAGAGTTGTATTCATCTAACAATAAACAATTGTGATGACACGGTCTAATGAATGGTATCAAATTCCAACGACAACCCACGGTTTCCTTGTGTTCATCTTCTTCCACCTTTTACTTGGAAACTTGTTTGTTTCTATTTTATTTATAACCCTCAATTAATAATAAAACAAAATACTTTTAAATAATTTTCCAACGACCACTTGGCGATTTTCATTCCCCTTATTGCGGAATGGGCCACAATAGGAAACGGTCCAGACCGGCAGCGCCTGGGGGCGGCGTTGAACTCTAGTGGCGGAGATAGATGGATGAGAATGCCTATTGGGCGGCTTAATTGCCCAACTTCAAATAATGATTGAATTGTTGAACAAATGATGATGGTTGTAAAGGAGTGAGAGCTTTTTTTTCCAAGCCAAATATTTGACTTCGAGCCATTCATTTGGGTTCACTTTTTAAACCCTTAGTCCCCCTTCTGCATATCAACATTAAAAATCTTATCTTTCTTCTTCTCTTTACTTGATTGATCGCCACCATATGGCCACTTACCCCGCCGTCATCGCCGCCGTGGACTGTCAAAAACAAGTCCATTCATGGCCGCTCTGCCGATCTCTCATCGAATTCCTCATCCCCACTTGTAATTGTGCCTTCGCTGAAGAAGAGCCAACGTATTCCTCAAAGCCCTTATTCCCCTCTTCCGCCACCGCCGCCAATTCCGTCGCTGGCAAAATATTCTGTTACCGGAGGAGAAAAGTCAACTTCTGCGGAGGAAATCTATTTCGGCTCATTTAGAAAATTTTATCATGAATTTGAGGAATATCTCTCTGTTTGAGGTCTTTTAAAAAAAGAAAAATAACTAGAGTTTAGGCTTAACAATATCATGTCAGGATAGAAGTCAGTAATTCCTAACAAATTCTTTATTTATTAGTGTGTAGGATGTACTTTGTTGGGTACGCATTGAGGCAGTAGACTTCGGCAACGGACGTGGAGATGCTACAGCAGATGGAGACGGCGACGGTGAAGAGCTCTTTGTTCATCTTTGTTCTAATCCTTTTGAGCTTGTGTTTTTTTGGGCAGCTTTTGATGTTACAGTGGCCCTATCTATGCCACCACCACCTGTCGTTTCGATGAACATTATACAAATTATATGTAATTTAAAACTTTAGCCTCCGCAACTATAACAATGTCATATCTAGACAAAATGGGAAAAAATGAAGTTAATTAAATGATAAATAATAATAATAATAATAATGTCAACATTTACCGAAGTTTCATTCCATTTTTCTATTTTAAAGTATTATTACACGACTGAAGAGACTAAAAATAGGCAAATTCAAGACGGAGAAACATTGAGAAGCGACCCATAAAACGGAGTGTATTTATTTGTCAATCATTAAAAAAGTGTTAGTACTTCATGTTTTCTACCTCATAAATAGAGGAGGTCAATTTTATTCATGGAGATCCATCTCGAACGGAAAGAGGACTCGAGGACTCCCCGTTTAGATGGTGAGAGGGGTGGGGATTCCTCAAAATTTTTTGTGGAGAATCTCTGCCCTAATCCCGATAAAAATAAACGAAAAATGTTGCATGAAACGTCGGAATTTTAGTAAATCAAACAAGTTGAGGGGGTATTTTTCTAAAATTGAACCTCATCTTTTTGGGCAAAGATATAAATAAATAGACTTTGTCGGTATTCAGAATTGCTTATCCATCTGGATTGAGCTGACACCATAATCAGAGTTGATGGGCCCTTTACACATAGGCCCATCATAGACTTTGGACCATATTTTGATTTTTTACTTTTCAACACTGTTACACAACCCGGCCCATTTCGGCTTTGTACTTATTTGTCGGCTAGCCTGTAATGATATCATTTCTCATTTCTTTTTCCAAAAAATAATTATTTTATTTTCCTTTTATTTTGTCAAAGTTCATTTATTTTTAAATAAAATTATTCATCTATTCTATGTATTTCCATGAAGGGAGTTCCAAAAGTCACATGTCGGGCTCTCCATCATGTTTCTAAAGAGTCTTTGACCAAAATTTGACTATAAATTTGACTAAGTGACATATCGGCTAACTGTAAACAATGTTTCGTTCTCCTTTTTAATTGACGTGGGACCTCACAATCCATCTTATCTTTAGAATCTAGTGTCTTTGCTATCACTCGTTCTTCTTTCTTATCAAAGTGGGAAACTAAATTCAAATCCCGAACGGAAAAAGTGCAAGTATACACATTCATAGTGAAACATGAGGACCATAAACCAAGTAGAATATATTATATTGAATGTAGGCGTCACCTCTGAAAAGCCCTAAAGCTTTTAATTCCCACAAACTTTGAATTGTAAGATAAGAGCGAAAGGTGGAGGGTTTTATGATATATAAACACATGAGAATTGAAATAAGCACGTAGAAATGGACCCAAGAAAGCAAGAGGGACCCTACAACCAGCTGGGTGCGATGGATTGAATGGAACCCGACTTTATTTGGGAATAGGAAC